TGGCTTATTAGCTTAGTGGTAAACATGAGGAGGTCAGGGCATTAAGGTCAACCCCCACATGAGCCAATTAGTTTGAAAGAGAAAAGCTTTTCCATAGCCGGTGACCATGCCCCTAACTTTGACCAGCTGTAATACAATTGCATGGCTGGTGGGCTAAGAGGTACCAAGCCAAAGAATACCAATGGCACAGCTTAAATCCCACCCCACTCCAAGCAATGCTAATGATAGTGAATGACTATATCTTTGAATGCCCCAAATTGTGCAGTCTTAATTGAAAAGGCAAAATCAATAGACTGGGGAAAGGCGTTTGGTCATGGTTTAGAAGGCTACAGATTCTTATTTGCCTCCTCTAATTTAATACAGGCCAGCTAGAACCTGACCTCACTTGTCCCCGTCATGTCCAAGAGAATGAGAAAATGTAGATGAGAACTGTCCATTGGTCCTTCCTAGCAAGGAAAAATGGAAATCTGTTTTCCATAAGGTGTGTGCTCCTTTGGCCAGGTGGCCTGTATGTCTTTTATCTTGATGGAGCTTCTAGTCCATCTCTGAAAGGTTAAAACCCACCTTAAAACAAAACATAACAAAGAAAGTGGCTTCTTTTTCTTTAAGTAGGTATACTCTGTCTTTGGGGACAAACAGAGTCTATGTAATGAGGACAAAAGAGATTAAAGATTCTTTGGTCACTACTTAAATCCAACATACTCCCTTCTTGAATAGCGCCAAATCTTGGTTAATTACAACCCAGACTATGAGTCTGTTACAGTTAGAAGAGGTCATTTACTTTAACAAAATCTCCTTGTTTTATAGACAAGGACATTTCAGCCCAGGAAGTTTAAATGTTTGCCAAAGTCATACAGCTAATGAATGACAGGTCTGGGAGCAGTTTTCTGAGCACAGTATTTCAAATGAAAGAAGCTTGAGTTAATAATAATAACCTAGATCTAAGAAGGTTGTTTCAATCAATAACAATGAAATTCATGGCAAAATTTTACTTAAACTCTACAAACAGTTATGTGTTAACACGCAAAGAATGCTATTTATTTATTCAGACCTGTTCTTAATAACTATGCATTGGAGGTAAGTTTTATAAAAGCTATAAATCTGGAGTAGCTGACAGGGTATCCAACTTTCTTTTCTAATTGATTTACTTCTCCCTTTTTCCAGACCGCCGAGGTAAAGCATATACAATTTATTTAAGGGATTGTTTATAGACTCTTAAAACTCAAAAGGACCCTAGAAACTCACTTTCTTTGGTTGCTTTTAATTGAAACCATCGAAGACGGTTGGTTGTCCATCAATTTTTTAAGTGTCTCCAAGGAGAGAAATTCCACAAGCCCTTGAGGCGCACGTTAAAATGGTTAATGGCTGTCAAAAAATTATATCTATAGTAAGCTCATGTCTCCTGTTTCTCTTGAAGCTCCTTTCCTCTTACAGTTTCACATAAAACGAAGTTATAACCAGCCCCCCTCTGTGAGAGCTCCATCAATCTGGTAAGATAATAGCTAGCTCTTTCCCGATTGCCACCTCCATTAAGCCACCATTTTTCTCATAGGACTAGAAGCACACGAGACTGGTTGATACGCTCTCTCACTGGGATGCATAGGGAAGAATGAGTAATTAGCTCTTCGCTGGGACTTTCATTTCAGAGAATGTCTGGGGAAGCTGCATTAATTATAGAGGAAGTGTTTCACTTATGCTGGGAAGACGTTCACAGAAAAGATCATCTAGACGGAAGCTTTCCACTGTGTTCTAGTGGAACGTGGGCTTGTAGAGAACTATGAGCTCATTCACAACACTGGGTCGATCTATACAAAATAAGCATGGCAGAAAAATTTTATTCAGTTGTGTTTCTAATAAGGTTAGAAAAATCAAACAAAAAGCTATCCTTGTTAAACATTCTGGCCCAACATAAAAAGATAGATATAGAGGGCAATTTTCTGTTAGATATTCGCATTTCAAACTAAGATTGAAATCTGCCTCCTCCTATTAAAAAAAAAAAATCTATACTTTCAAAATTGGATTTTAAGCAGCTTAAAATAAAAGGCCACAATAGAACTTTGAAAATAAGGGTAAAAGTGTAATAAGAGTCCATTGACAGGGTTGGAGGTAGAGATTTCTTTGCTCTAATAAGGATTTCAAAGCCTATAAATGCTTAGAGCTGACTTCTCCACACATAGTACATCTCAGGGGACGAAAAGGTAACTCAATACAATTTTCTGACAACAGTTAATGTCTATAAGAATAATTGGCTCAGACACAAAACCAGACCATCAGTGTAGCATGCAGCCCTAGGTTTGTTAGTATATACTGTATTCATTAAAAAAGAAAAGAAAAGAAATTTTTTTTTATCAAATAGCTGTGCATATATGAGGTGAGAAGAATTGTCCAAAGTGCTTGACAAACCTAATTTTTTATGGTGTTGAAGACTAAGATTCCATACAAGAAATTCTATTTCATTCAACTGGATTCAATTAAACTCAATCAAACATAAGCCTCTACTATAGCAGCCAGGCATTGAGCAAGGTACTGGGATTTAATGGTAAATAAATATAGCACTTGGCATCAAGGAGCCCATTGAGGGGTAAATCCTGGGTAGGTGATTTCAAAAATGGTACAAAATATTCAGGTAAAGCGTAAATGACTATAATCTAATCTCCCATGGTTATTTTTCTCTTATGAGACTTGATAATACGTATGTGCTTTATTTTTAACCTCCCAAATAGCAACTAGACTGTGAGGTCCTTGACATCAAAGTCAACCTCTCTCATTCATTTTGTCATCTTATCAGTGACTAGTAGAGTGTCTTCCACAGAGCAGATGCTCTAGCTGTGTTTTGAACTGAAGAATTTAAAGGGGCCAACTTCTCTTAGGCAAACAGGATCATCCAGTTGACTAGAAAGTTAACAAGAATACTTTTGTGCATAGGGGTCTACGTCAGGGAAAGGAGTTAAATTAAGTCATGGAAATGTTATAAGACAAAACTTATGAAACACAGACTCTCAATGACAATACTGATGATAATAATACACAATTTATAAAACCTCTTCCTCCTCAAAGTCATACTCTAAACATCAAGAGTTGCTATAGATAAATGTTTTCTAGTTTAAAGCAATGCTTAAATTTGCTCTTTGTAGTAACAGAACAAAAGAATTCTTTCAGTGTCTTGAAGTTGGTTTCCATCATAGTCGTCCAATACCCTTAAGTATAGTATGAACATATATATGTATCACGTGATTATTTGGGACCAAATCATTCTTTCCATTCTCACATTTCACCATCTAATGCAAACCTTGTAGTCATGAGAGGATCCAGTTTCCATGCACTGTGCATGGAAATCTTGGAGCATGTCCTGTTGGACAAGACAATTTAACCTGGCACACAACAGAAGACACTTGCGGGCTTGGCAATCACCTAGTGAGCTGGATCAAAGGAAATTGCACAGATGGATTATCAAGGCAAAAAAAAATTCTCTTGGGCATAATAAGTGAAGACTATGCATTCATTTTTTAATATGGATCAGCAATAGCACAGTCAAGAAGAATGATGACGACAACCCGTTGTGGAGTGATGTTGATGTGGCACATTAGCCTCCCATAAAACAAGTCTGCTGTTCGAAAAGAACCCACCTGATGAGCTCATTCATCTGCACTGCAACCAAGAACTGGACGGAATCACTTTATTGCCAGAAAAATAGATGAATTAGCTCAATTAAAGCGTTGGCTGGAAACAGAGTGGGAACTTGCCCATCACATAGTAGAAAGCACATCTCGTTCTGTCACTAGTCGTTTAAACGTTATTTGTTGCCAAGTATATGATGTGTACAAATCATCAGTCCTCCTTTTAGCCTCTTCCTTCCTATCCCCCCACCCATTCCAGACCCATATACATGGACCTCTATCCCAGCACCCCTCCCACCCGCATACCCACTCTCACCCACAGCCCCCTCCCCACGCCACCTTCCCTGGAAGATGAGATAGACTTGAAATGTGTGAGTCATCCCAGGAGCTATTCCAAACCTAGTGGGTAACTGAGGTAAGCTGTCTACACTCGAGCGATATGAATCTCTAAGAATGATTCATGCACACTGAGAACCTGAGCGTTGGTTTTTTGGAACTCTCCAAAATTGCAAAGAATTATACAGAAGGAGCATCTGGCTTTAAATTTCACTGCTCTGTAATGTACAATGAGAGGTGCTTCTGAGGAGGATGCTTTAAGTGAGGCGTTCCCTCTGGCAGCACTGACTTCTGTTTGTGTTTATTATTTGCAAGTGTTGACTTGGCCTCTACTTTATATTGACTGTAGACTTTTTAATCACCTGAGACCTCCTTGTGGGATATGTAATCTCACACTGGTCAGAAACCCTTTTCCAGATGGTGATGTCGTTGGAGGGCCTCGGAAAAAGGGCTAGTCAAAGGAAGGCAATAACTAAAACTCAAGGCCAATTTGCATAGAGGGCAAATGAACCTGGCACTTCTGTTTGCATTTAAGAGAGAGCCTGTGTATTTGCAAACGTGCCTTTGAGGGCAGTTGGCCTTCTCTCTCTGTTCCTGGTGATTTCACAGAGCATGGAGACATCTGGGATGTGCCCCTTAATTCTTTTTCCAAGTCCACCTCACTCTTTTACTCCAAATTCCCTGGAACTTCAAACAAGCCTACATGTTTCCACATGTTTATATGTGCACACAAGGGTTTGGAGAACAAAACCCTCAATCCCAGAGGGTCGTTCTGTCCCCTCCTTTTGAGGAAGAGAATGGAATAGTGAGGGAAGAGCATGCTAGTTGCTGGAATGCTCATCAGGAAACAGTTAAAAGACAAACTGCTAAGGAGGAAAATTTCATCCGAAATCTACAGAACCGGCCACAACCCCACTGAAACCCTAGGCTTCCTTGAAGGTGCGGAATCGGGCTGAGGATGGCCGCCAGCCACGGGCAGTCGTTCAGTTATTCACACACTCCCTGCGGTTGTAAATCCACACAGCCCCGAGAGGGAGGGCTACTTACTGAAATAAAAGCCCCTGTCTCCACACACGAACTGGAGCGCGTCCACCAGCTCAGCCCCGCACAGCGTCTCCGGTCCAGCCGTGGCGGAGCTGGAGAAGGACAGCAAGCACAGGGCCAGGTAGAAGAGATGCGAGGAGGACAGGACGTGCATCTTTACCTGCGAGGAAGCAGAGGGAAGGTCACGTTTCCGCCCCATCCGTGAAGGGGAGTGGGGGCGGGGCACGGTGCATTGACCCCCGCATTCCATCCCTGTGGTGAATCAGACCCGCCCTGCACAACAGGGCAGCAGCGTGCAGGGTGGCCTGGATGGAGCACCTCTTCTGTGCAGTCCCCTTCCTACCGTGCGCCTTGGAGAAGTTCTCCCTGAAATCCTTCTTACAAGTTCCTAAACATTTTGAATGATCAAAGGCTAAATGGTGCTCAGTCCAGATTTGGAGCCAAATATGTTTTATTTACTTAAATTCTCTAAAGACTGGCCATCCACAGATGGCACATGCACTCATTATTGACTGGAATATTAAATTAACCAGAACATCCTTCCCTAGCTACTGATTAGAGAGACTTCACTGTGGCTAAAAAAGGACTTGTGAACATACTATATAGATCATTATAGAATTTTTCTTTTTCTTTTTCACTTGAGATTGAGAGAGAGAGAGACAGAGAGATTTCTTACCTGGGGGATATCAGAAGTTAACACAACCACAGGTGGGAGTAAGACAACAGAAACAGGAGACATGTGAGGGTTTAGGAGTGAAATGGGCTCTTGCTAAGCAGTCCTACTCTTTCTGCATTCTAAAGTCCTTTGTGTCAAGTTCAATATCAAATCAACACGTGTAGAGAGTGCCTTCCGTGAACAGGGCACTGGGCTCAAAACTTACAAAAGATTTTTTTTTTTAAGTCATAGAAATTCTGACTTCATCTCTTGGAGGGACTTATGTAACACTGGATCCATTTTATAGCAAAATATACTGAGGGCCCCCTGGTTGGCTCGCCTTAGCCAGGGACAGCCAGCCAAGTGGCAGCCCGGCCAGAGGCAGACTTCCTGTGGCTCGCCTCTCTGTCCTCACTCCAAGCAGTAGAAGCAAGGCTAAGACGGTCCTTAAACTTATTCCTATAGCTGCTTGTGGCACAAAGAGGTGGTTTCTTCCAGGAAGGCTCCCAATGAGTAGCTTCCCCTTTCTTAGATGCGTCTACTTTCAGCAGCATTACAAGAGTCACCAGAAAAGGTTAAGTGAGGGACCCCTATTAGACTGGAAGCTATCATGATATAAAAAAAAAAAAAGAGCCTCTTTTGACCCTCCTCGCAATGGCAGGTCCATTGGACCCCATCACTTCTGGAGAGAGACTCAGTCACTGCCTTTCCACCACCCGCCCTGTTCTCCATGCTCTCTGACCTGCATGGTTCTACATCAGCAGCAAAGTGTGTCCCATCTTTATAGTTGAGATTTCCACGTTTGTGGCCAGAAGCTCAGCGATTTGGGGGAGCCTTAAACCCCTGACTCTTGTTAAACAGTTGACCATGAAAAGCACCTTCTACTTGCAAATCATCATAAGCAATGGACATAAAATAGAAGAGGAGGTAAAGGCGCAACTGAGCATTTCTCCCACCTTCCCAGTAGGGCTCTGTTGGAGTCCTGGACTCCCCCCCTCCCCCCCAGCCCAAACCACCGAGACTACTAGAAAACAACCATCATCTTATTTTTTTCCTCAGTGATAAAATAATTAGTGGAGCTTTTCCCCTTCAATATTTCCAGTGGAAACCTCAACAAAGCCAACCCAACTGGTCTTCACTGCCCTTTTCAAAAAAGCAACCTATAATTGCTCTTCCAGAACATACCCCACACTCTGTCAATGTGTCAGTTCTAGAATGGATCCTTCTGCTACCAATCTTATTTCTGCACCCCTCCCTTCTTTGTGGAGTTTATACTAATGCTCAAGGCCAAGCACCTGCGATTGTAGGTGCCTTCAAGTTCTTCAGTTCTCATGGAATCCAGGAGAAAACACACTCAACTTATAGCCTTAGTAGATTGATAAGATCATGAGATGCAAAACTATATCTTAATAGTTATTTCTGCTTTAACACATTTAAGCCCAGCAATACATATACATCTCTAGCATTTAAGAAGTTAAGATTTTTTTTACAGCTTTTTCTCTTTCTCCCTCTTTTGCTGAATTATATTGTCAGATAAATGGCAGCACTTATAGTTCTAGAACAAGATAGAACCTCCAGTGCATATTCCTTTAGTTCACCAAACAGTCCAGCACACCCACAGAGACTCAGAGAATTTATCACATTATGTTCCCAAAAAAGAAAACAATAATGAACTTGTTTAGAAGTTAAAACTTTGAAACAAGTGGCCCCATATGTTCATCATTTCCTTGGCCTTTTGTTTTGCCAAACACAAAAGAAATGAAGAGAGAGAAAAGAAAGATATGATAGAGAGAAAGAAAGAAAGAACCAGAAAGAAAAGAGAAAAAAGGAAAAAAAATCACAGCACTCTTCCTCAAAAATCCTCCACAAATCCAAAATTTTAAAAAAACCTCTCTTTTTATCTTAAATAAATGGAATAGCAATTGATTCCAGATGTCTGGGTTACAATGAAAATGCCCAGCAAAATCTGAGGGCAATAGGCATAAGCAAATACTCACTGTAGGTGTAACCATTTTTGTTTGTTCCAGATCTTTTACAGCAGGTCAGGGTGGGTATTATGAGGCTGATGTGAATAGAAAACTGAGGACTTAAAAACATGTGCAGCTTTGTGGGTGGGGTTTGTGAAAGCATCTAGTTACATTTGGACACCCAGGCAGGTATGCTATGAGTCTGGGTAAACTGCCTTTTGTCCATTCAAACAATGAGCAAATTACACAGCTGGGATTTGAGTCAATCTTTTCCCTTCCGTCAAGCCACCAATTGCCATTGTATGTGCCCCCTCCCGCCCCCCAGAAGCGATCCTAACTCCTATCCCTTCCCCTCTGCCCTCTGACTCAAACACTTGGAAAATATCTTGAGACCCAGAGTACAATCAATCAGCTTGTGAATGCTGCCTCTAGACAGGACACATTTACTCCCTGAATTACATCTGAAAGACCACTCACCTCCCTCCAACCCCTTCCTGATCAAAGGACAGGAAAAAGTAACAACAACGAATTGCTAGCTCTGCTTCTGAGAAGTTCAGCATGCACAGCATGGAAAGTTCATTTGCAGACAGTTTTCCAAACTTGTAATTAAGGCAGACATAACACTCCACTGCCCCTTTTAGGATCATCTGAGTCGGGAGACAAATCCCCCAGCTGTCTGACCACACAACATATACGTATATGGGCTTGATTTCTTTTAAAAGCAAGGTAGCCAGCCTATGTCTTGGCATCTCAAGGGCAGCAGAATCAGCTGCCTGATGAGGATGGAGCCTTAACTCCTAAGCCACTTACTCGGAGAAGTCCTGGCGGTGGAGTATTTGAAAGCAAATGAAGGCTGGACTAAGGGGCAGGGACATTTTATGAATTGAGACCTCAGGCAATTTCATCGGGGAACTAGTGACAGAGGCTTAAAAGTGCTTGCAAATTGGAAAAACACAAGTCTTGAAGGATATAATTTTGCTGAGAATGGAAATTTGAACTAGGGCCAGTGATTGGAAACGAGAAGTCGACGCACTGACAGTGGCAGCCAAATTGACCTAAAGAGACTTCGCAGCACCGAGTATGACATCAGTTTTACAACACGAACCCCCAGCCCAGACTTCGCCTGGGAAAGTCCTCTTTCAACCAGAAAACTTGGACAAGCAGTTGTTAGAAAGTTTCTGCTTCCCATAGACAGCATGCATTTGTTTAAATTACACAAATATGCAAGGTCAGCAAGAGTTGTCAAGTTCTTTTTTGGAAGAGTAAATTAAACTTCACTCTCACTTGGACTCTCTGGGCATACATGCAGAGAGTTCCGGGACCTTAGCTCCAAAGATCACATTTAAAAGCTTTAATATCATCTCAAACGTAACTCTTTGTATGTGGCATGCCTTGTAATAAAAGTCCTAACAAGTTACACACACACACACACACACACACACACACACACTCATACACTCACGAGAACAAGGTCTTAAAAATTAAACATCTGCACCTGCAAAAAAAAAAAAAAAAGATTCCCAAGTTCATATCCACGCTCTATAGCCCTTAACCATAGACAGGATTAAAAGGAAGCTTCTATAAAGACACCACTGAAGCCCTGCAGAAGTAGAGGATTTAGCATAAGTACCTTGCAATAGTTTTACTCACACATATTTCTGTGCAAAGGCATCCACCTCCGGGAGCTCTTTTTTCAGATCCCACAGAATTGCATATTCAGCAATTAATAAATAACTCCCAGTCCCAAAACAATGCAAATTCTAAAGTGAATAACGTTTCTAGGCAAAAGCAAACAGTACACAATTGAAAGAAAATTCCCCAATGGCTTCAAAGAGTAAGAAATATTTACCTTCAAGAAATCACAAAAGCAGCACTTAAATAACTGGGTTGGAAGACCGCTGACTTTTTCCATCGCTTCTGAAGTGCAAAGTCTGGAAATGAATCGGTTAGCAGGAATAATGAGGCAAAAAGGAATGCAGAGAGATGGGAGATGTTGAGAGCGATGTCACATTTCAATTTTGAGGACTTTATTCCATTGCGCAGGCTCTGTCTGCTCTGAATTTAGCGGTGACAGTGAGATTTAGCAAACAGAAGAGGGATTTAGAGAAAATCCTCACATTTATCTACAAAACACAGACACTGTAGACAGGAAACAGCTGGGGGAACATTTGCCTTCTCTCTCTCTCCCTCTTCTGGCAAAGTTATCGAGTAAGGACTTTTTTGGGCAGGGTGACAAATAACATCATACCTTTGCATTTTAAAACTAGAGCACAGAACCGTTTTTTTCCCCCCCTTAAAAGAATGTGTGTTAGTGACAGGGTGAGCAGATATTAAAAATACTGATGCTACCATAGGGAATGAGGGTCTGTTCTCTGATTAACTTGCTCCTGGGCTTGAAGACACGCACATCTGTTAATACACCTTATCAGTATTGAAGGAGGGTGCATGGGGGATGGGCAAGCAATTCACATTCTAGAGCAAATACAAAATTAAAAAAAAAAAAAAAAAAAGAAGTGAAGGAAAGACCACCCAAGCAAAACCTACGATTTTAACCCTGAGATGACTGAGGTTAACTAGATTGGACGACAGCCCTAGGTGATCCCTTGTCCTACTTGCCAAACCAGGGGAATGATCTCATTTCCTAGAACCTAAGAAGGGGCAAGCAGCGTCGCAACTGGCTCCCTCGAGGGTGACACGGTTTCGTGCTTTTTGCCCGTGACAGGGCAAAGACATTGCTGAGCTGTAAAGTCAACTGGAAAAATAAAATCACTTTTCTTCCTTCTTCTACTAGGCTGCCTGTCACCCCCCAGGGGAAGGGCACCTGAGGGGCAACCCATTTTCCCGTCGTTCATATTTTTCTGCATAACTCAAAACTGTGTGTGTTAGCGTGTGTGTGTTCTTCCTCTAATGTTTGTGTATTCTAAATAACACCAGCTGGCTAGCAATACCCTCTCAAGGGTTATGATGTCATTCAAATCCCTCAACTGAATGAGTGGCCGGCAACATGGTCCAAGCCAGCTGTTTTGTTATTTATAATGTACACTTGCCTGTGCCATTGAGAATCAAGTTCTGATCTCTTGTCAAAGAGATCTCTTGTCAATACAGTGTGTACCAATTTCTCTTCGGTGTTGCGAGGTAGTAGATAAGAAAGTGGATTATGAAAGAGGGTTGCAAAAGCCCAGATAAGGCAGGCCACTTTCCCTGGACGTCTCCCCGGGCACATGTGGCTTCCCAGGACGGTGGAAGTAACTTGGGCCTTGCATTTCCCTGTCGTGATTGTCAGGGGACATGATACTGATGTGCCCCTTGAAAACAGGGGTCTGCTGGAAAGCCCAGCTGGGTCTGTGTGTTGTCCTGTGGAGAGAAAGTTGTTTGCAGGTGTGAGCACCCTCCAAGGAAAACCTGACTGGTTTCGGAAGGGAGTTCGGTTTGGTGGAGTCTTCTGTGTGGTTAATAATTTGTGGCGAGGTGCACCTTCTGGAAAGAAAAGGTGGGCATTCTTTGGACTTCTGCCGTTTCAATGGTGCACAAATTCAGCATCATAGAGTGAGTGCCTACTGTATGCCCAACTCTATGCACCATGGTCAAGGCTCCACAGAGCTCCTGGCTAAGCGGCTGAGACAGAGAGGAAGACACCATTGTCACGTGGTGGGCATCTGCTTGTTTATAAATATGAACAGTGCATCTGGAAAGACAGGGAAGTGAAACCCTTTTGAAAATCCAGAATGGGGAGAAGGGACGGGTCATGAGGGGCTTTGGGTACAAGGCTAGGAAGTCTTAATGGCTATGCCATGACCCGAAGAGTATACAAATATGCATCATCCAGAGATAGCCAGGTGGGCATCTGCAGGTGTGCGGGCAATTCCTGTCCTTAAAGGGCGATGCAAGACTTCCTTTACTGAGCTTTCCTTCATGCATTTAATTTAGGACTTGATTTACCCCAAACCTTTTTTCCTTCCGCTTTTGAGGATCACCGCTTTATGAAAGACAAAGTCCATCCTCCTCTCATCGACTCTGATGATGTCGAGCATATAACCGAAGAGCTGCACTTGTCTCGCGGGTAGAAAGGACTGCGTTTGTTTCCATTCGCACGGTGTCAGGTAGGGGCCGGAGCCTGTGGCTGAGCGCCCTGCTCTGTCCCCGGACACCTTCACAGGTCAAGGCCAGGACTTGCCACTGCAGCCAAGACACCCTAGAAGCTCGCTGCGTTTCTCCAAGGCAGGAACCCAGTCCGGGTACCACTGGCCTGCCCTGGGCAACCATGTCATGTGAAAGGGCTGCTTGGGGAGACGGAACCCAGACCCGGTGCTGCTGTGAGAGCGACACACTGACTCACAGCTTCTGGGTTTTATAACCCCAATTACCCTTAAAGGATAATTGAGTTTGAATTTATGTCCCAGTTTTGGTGTCACAATCAAAGAAAACTGAAATGTCAGTGCGTCGTAATTGTCATCAGCTGTGCTGTGGAAACACTCCGATGTGCGCTCCCGGCTTCCATAGGGAAAGCAATTTCCTGAAGTGATTATTGCAGATTTCAACGTGGGGAACGGTCTGTCTGCTGGGGAGGGGAGCCAGCCACAGAGCAGGCCCGCGGTTTCCCAGAGATGTGGCCATGTCCTCCGCTAATTCCAGAGCCCACCTAAAGGGAAAGGGTGATCGATGTGCCAATGATTACCTTTTTTATAATCCTCACCTGAGGATGCTTTTATCTTCAGAGAGAGTGGGGGGGGGGGGAGAGAGAAAGAGAGACATTGATGTGAGAGAGACACATCGACTGGTTGCCTCACGCATGACCCCGACCAGGGCCAGGGACTGAACCGAAACTGAGGTCTGTGCCCTTGACCAGAATTGAACCTGTGACTCTGATCTGCGGGCCGACCCTGTACTGCTGAGCCAAACCAGCCAGGGCATGCTCAGGTTTTAATGACTGCGTGTTGTCCCTGTTTAGTAGAAAAAGAAAGGAATGTCCCTATTACAAAAGCATCCCAGGTGGCAGTAAACCTAATCTCCAGGAGACGTTCAGGTCAGGAAGTCCCAGAGGAGAGAAACACGGGGTCATTCTACAGTGACCGCAGGACTGTGTAGACTCCTGCCTGGAACACCCCGGCAATTGGCTATGGGAACTGCGCGCCACCGGAATAGCTAGCTGCCCGCGCGCTCATCATGAGAACACACGGCTGGAAACGCAGATTCACAGTTCCACCTTTTGCATGGCTAATGCCTATGGGATATAAATAACTCTACCCTAAAGCCTACTTCTCGAGTAGCATATTTGCATAAAGCTGCAGCCTCAGAATACTCCACACCTTTCTTTAAAAAGAAAAGCACTTCATCTCCTTAAAGCGCAGCCTGATTGAGATGCACAGGAAGGGGTGGGCAAGGCGCGGTCCCCACCCGTTCTGCTCAGGCCGTGTTCTCAGCCTTCCCGTACCAGCTGCAGAGGAGAGGATCCAAAAGGTAATTTCATATCTATGTGCAATCGGGCATATTTACAATTTATTTTATTAATGTTTTTGCTGACTCCCAAGAAAAGCTCCAAATGGATATTTGGAGGTGGGAGGACTTTGGAACCAAATAAAGGGCGAGGTCTAAGGTTCTAGGGCCACCCACCAGGCAGAGAACTTGGGGAAACTATTGGACGCGTGTCCTGGATCTTGGTTTGTGGGGAGGGTTGGTCTGGGAGTGTATTCTCCAAGGTCTGAGATCCAGAGCTTGTCAGTTCCGAATGTAAACTCGGAGGAAAAGACCGGGCCTCAGAAACACACCATGCCGCCGAACCAGGGCACTAATGTCACCTCCGAAAGGTCTGCCCCGAAGCTCAGCTCATCCTCAGACAGATCTTGCGCAGCCCACAGAGTTGCTTTACCTCCTCCAAGGAGCGCTTTCCCCGTGTTAGGGAAAACAGGGAAAGGGAGACGAGACCCTCGCACTAAGGAAATCAGTGCTTTCTTTTCAACATCACGCTTGGGTCTTATTGCTCTAAAATGTCAAAAGGGCAAATGCTGAAAGCAGTCAGAATGGGAGCAAAATAATTCTTTGTAATGGCAGATGAGGAGCACTGTAAGGGGCGAGAGTGGTTGGTGGGGTGAGGGAACCAGAGCGTTCACCACGATTGCCCCAAGTTGAATAGAAAGGGGGGAAAGGAGGCACCAACCCCGAACTTCAGGGCCAGTGCTCACAAACGCGCTTTCTTTGGGAAGAAAAAAAAAAAAAAAAAAAGTGCGCGCCCTCTAGTGGGCTGAGGGGAAACTGCCGCAGCAATCTGCACGGCTGAGGTGTGGCCTTTGGGAGGCCTTTTGGAAAGCTCAGGATTCAAATATACTGAAGCTGCACTGATCTTTGGTTTTATGAATCCTGTTAAAATAAATAAGCTAGGTATTTAATAACTGTAGTTTCCAAAAGGGAAAACGTGCTAAGGGGAGAAAGAAAGATCATCAGCTTCACGAGGGCACAGATGCCTTCTTCACGGCCGCATCCCCCGTGTGTAACTCCTGGTGTCGGCTCCAAGCACTGCGTTGATTGATTGAACGTCCGGGAAATTAATGATGGTAAAAGTGAGATGTATAACATCAGAAAGAAACTCTCTGAGAGTGAAATGACCAACATCTTAGAAAGAAAAGAAAATGAGGGAGTGGGCAGCCAGGGTAGACAGGAAAGGGACTTATTTAAAAGGGGCAGATGCTCACGAGGGATCCTAATTCCAGTCTCCGCGCCTCGACAGCGCTCTCTCTACCACCTGGGCGCTGGAAACGCGCCCTGAAACCCGGAGAGTCCAAGACGTGGCATCTAAGAATCACGTAAGTGTGGAAGTAGTTCCATATGTAAGGATCTTTTTGTCCTGAATTTACCAGAAGGAAGTCTCAGTTTGGTACTAGCCTGTGTTCAGTGCCCAATACTGCTAATCTTCCTTTTTAACAACAGAAAAACAATTAACCAACCAAACAAACAGACCTTAAGCCCAAAGTCTTTACAGACAGTGGTTTTATCCAGAATTTATTAGTACTTTTTTATTTAAAAAAATTTTTTTTTGGTTAATTTTCACCCGAGGATATTTTTTCACTGATTTTTAGAGACAGTGGAAGGGAGGGAGGGAGGAAGAG